CTCAACTCCCAGAATTCCCCAGCCAGCTTGCTGGCTGGGGAATTCTGGGAGTTGAGTTGAAGTCCACACATCTTAAAGTTGCTAAGGTTGAGAAACACTACTCTAGGCAGTATAAGTTTCCTAAGCCTAGCTTTTGCTCCCCTCATGTCAGGCTCACATTTTCCCCCTTCTAAAAAGGAGTTCTACCCTTTATTGTAAGATGTGCCTATAAAATGCTAAAGAAATTAGGCTTGAGAAAGTCTGGGTTAAAAATTAATGTAATTTTAATTTATGTTTTCTAAGATTTGTATTCAGTTTCTTAGCCCTCTTAGATGCTTGCCTGAGTAGAAAGGTGGGGTGTAAATCAAAAGATTAAATATAAAAATCAGCGGTATAGGAATTCAGTTCCATCTTTGTTTTGACCAAACATCAATTACAGCTGCTAGCCCATACGTTGTTTGTCTGGAACTTACTTCCAAGTCAAGAAAGTGGCACCTGAACTGTAAAGGCAGGAGGAAACTTCACTTGCTTAGTTGCATGAGTTGTCTGAATCTATTTGATCCATAGGCTCCTTTTCTATGGAGCACCAACTTTCTGTATGGGGGCTAAATGTACAGACTGCCTGATAGATGGCCCTGCTTTCAGGAAAGTCCAACCTGGCCTCCTTTTCCACCCTATTTACTCAAGCAAGTAGAGAAATTAGTGTGGAGCAGAAACAGAGACCCTGGATACATTATAGCACCCAATTTGCATTTATGTAGATTTTGCAACAACTTTTTGTCCAGTCTGAAATTGCAATTAAGGGTTCCAGTATTTGCAAATGTGAATCCTGCACAGAACAGGATTAGAAGTTTAGGCGCCGAGAAACTGACAATCCAAGGCTAAACGGAAGGAGCTGATGTGACTGCGATCCGCCTTGGTCTCGTAAAGGGGGATGGAGCAGAATGAAGGAAGCCAAGCTCCGTTTGGCTGTCTGCAAGAGCTCTGTCCCATCTCGGCTCTGGAACTAACCAGGCAAGGAATGGGCTGAAGTTCAGACAGTTAAGTTCCCCAACCTTCTTCCTCAGGAAGAACCTGGCCGTTGGAACTATAGGAGCTAGAACCTTGCACTGGGATGGAGGAACGCAACCACACGTAGCCAACATTACCTCCACAGGGAGAACACTTTGTATTTTACTGACCACAGATTATGCAGGGGAGACAGGATTATGAGGCAGGACTAGGAGCTGCTGATAAGATTCAGGGAAATTACTAAACTGTGCAGCTTAAAAAGAAAAATTAAAGTAGCATGTTCTGAGCCAATGAAATGGTCCACTTTTTCCCTACTTCACAATCATCTTTTCTATCCTGTCCTTGCCACCTTCTCATTGATATGAGCAAAGAGAAGTCAATATGGAGTTCCATATATAGACACACTCTGCTATCTCCAGTGCCACAGTCTCACACCACCTGCCTGCTACTGCTGAGGTCATTTGGCACATGGAGGTATTGGGTATCTCTTCCAACAAGGCATCTAAGAATGCTGGTACTCATAGGCACCTGATACAAACTAAAGCGACAAAACAGGCGTTGTGACATCATGATGCAAATTCTAACCTTTCCTACTTGCATCCTGATGTTCTACATAAGTACTGAAGTCCATGGCAGGTATCACAGCAAACATTTCATCAGTTGCCCACCCCATCCTCTGGAACCTATGTTGGTTTGCTGAAATGCCCTTAGATTTCAGGCTCTGCCACAATGTAAGTACAAAATCTGTCAAGTTTGGGGAAATCATCAGTGGGACAAGAAGCTCTGGGAAGCTGGCAAGAGGGTCCTTCTGAACATCTGGATCTGCTAGCAGGTGATGTCATCACTCCAGGTCTGAAAAGTACTCAAGGCCACTCCATTGGCTCCAGAGTCTTCTGCACAACTTTCTCTTATCCTGTGGAAATCAGCCCTTAAAATGCTTGTGACCTTTTGGATCTCTTTGCATGCATATGCAGATTTACCCTGTATTAGACCGGTTGCCTCATAATTTCAAACAAGCCCTCCAGAAATAGATCTATAACACGTCATGCTCAAAATATTCCAGTGCTGATGGTGGGAAAGTCTAAAACCTCTAGTTTGGACAGCAGAGGAATTTGGAGTCCTTGGTGCTCTCTGAGCTTGGTGGTTTGCTTGCAGACATTTCGTTACCCAACTAGGTAACGTCAGTGCCACTGATGATGTTATCTAGTTGGGTAATGAAACGTCTGCAGGCAAACCACCAAGCTCAGAGAGCACCAAGGACTCCACAGCTCAACACTGAGCTACAGATCTTCTCTTCTATTAGAGCAGAGGAATCTTGCAGCCAACTGCATTTACATTTTGAATGATGGAGGACATCTGAAAGGTTGGTAAATATTACACTGACTAACTCAGATTAAAGGTTAGTACAGTACATGAATCTCACTCAACCCATACCCATTTCATTAAAAGGTGCCTCTGCCTAATGCAGCTCAGCATCTTACCTTCCACCAGGAACCACTCATATCCTTAGGAAATGTCTGAAGGCCAATTTCTTTTCTTTGCAATGGACAATCTCTCCTCTCTGCTAGGGTTACCAGATCTAGGCTCAGAAATCCAGATAACCAGAGACGGCAGCAAAGAAGCACACAAAACCTAATGCTGCTATCTAATACCAACCTGGATTTCTGCAGCTCAGATCTAATAGCCCTACTTTCTGCTACTTATGTAGAAAAACCTTGAGTCCTCCAGATGTCTTAGAATTACAACACTTGGAATTCCTCAGCCAGCATGATCACATGGGAAGACCAACACATTGAAGAAGATGATCTAAGTAGGGGAAGGAAGCTGTTAGGGGTTTTCTTAATATGGTATATAGAAGATAATATGGTACTTAATATGGTATTAATAGAAGAGAAGGCAGACTATATTCACACAACACTATTTTATCGTACAAAATATGAACTATCTTATTCTATTATCTATGTTCTATTTCTATTTAATTATACATTTTCTATCTTTATATCCTATTTCTATGTTATTATTTCTGTGTGTATAATCCTATGTTTTCTTATCTTAACTATTTCTTAGCTCTTAGTTTCCTAAATCTTCCCCTTTTCCCCAGGTCTTCAGCTCTTGTAGCCAATCTCAGTCCACCTGAATGTGAAAACCCTTTTCACTTCTTTATAGACTTACAAATGGGCTTTTTCTCTCCCCCGCAGCACTCACAGTCCTCTGTTCCTGGGGCAGGTTTGTGGAGCTCTGCACCTGGGCTGCTCCACGGAGTGGGCTTGGTTCAGCAGTGGGTTTTCAGACTCCAGTCAGGCTCTCTTCCTCCCCTGTCTCTCAGCTCTGCCTCTTAGCTCCAAGGGTCAACGTTTTTTCTCTTGCTGTCTGACAACTACTGCTAAGGTGCAGGCCTATGGGTTGGAGTCTCCTCTTTCCCAAATCTCTGCTGTCTTCCTGGTATAACTCCTTTCTTGACACACCCGTGCACGTGCTTGCTTCAGTTCTTTTTTATAGAACAGACTCTCCAATTAAGGAGAGGGTGGGGCTATTTGAACCCCCCTTCACAGGTAGCACCAAAACTCTGGATCCCAGGAGGGAAAAATATCCTTGCTCATTCCAGGTGGCAAGTTCACTCTTCCACAGAAGGACTACTAGAGCGGACGAACTCCAGTCTGAGTCATGAAAGGTATAAATTCTTTACCCTTCTCATGCTACCCCCAAGTAAACCAAACACACTGTGCAGAGGCAATGCATACATTTTGGGATCTAGGTTTCACTCAACAAATCTGAGAACTGCAGCCTGTTCAGCACGTGCATACTGAGATGCAATGGTGTACACAATGCTTTATGCGTGCAAAAGAAGTACCCTGGATTCTGGCCAGAGCCTCAAATAAGACTGGAAAAATTCTGGCCAAAAGCCACTCCAGGATGTAGATATTTGGTATTGCATTTGTCCAATGAAACTTTAGCTGTGCTGATGCTCAAGAAGTCTGACACTGATTCTTTTGGAAAGCATGCACGCTTGTTTCCTTTCAACCAGGCTCTCAACTGTTCAGGGACCTGGGAATGTACACGTTCCAACCAATGACTATACATAAGATTATGAGTATAAATGGTCATCCAGGACATAAATGGTTTACCTCTCTCCTCCTCATAAGTCCACTAAGTGGCCAGAGCACAACCCCCATCACCCAGCTCATTCCCATCTAGGATGTGGAGTTGAATAAAATAGTTCTACTTCTTAAACATCTCCAAGAAAGCTCATGAAGAACTTCAGTACAGAAATTTAATGCATGACTATGATGTCGGCTGTGTTTATCCATGGGATCAGCCACCACTTTTTTCAACTGCAAAAGAAATGGGGAAGAAGAGACTTCTTATGTCACACTCTCAATGCAGAAGCAGTATAAGAAGCTACACTTCCTTTTGCAGAATCCTGACACAAAGTAAAACAACATTCAGCCTGAAGCATTCTGAGATGCACAGAAGACTTGGAGAAATATCCATGGACCATTTGCTTGTTGGAAGCTATGCAGTCCTTCAATACAATATTAGGGCCTCTACCAAATCCCCCAAGTTTTCTGCCCATGCCTTTTATTCCTGTAACGTCCTTATGAGGCTAAATTGAGAGATATGCAATATTACCCAGCTTGCTTTATACTGAGTAGAGATCTGAACCTGATTCTGTCCAGTCTAACAGAATTGGGGGGGGAGGGGGGTTGGGGGGAAGGTGAGAGGGATTGTTTCTTTAAATATTTTCCTTGGGAGATCGATACCACTTTTTGTCTTTTCTCAAGTACAGTGAAAAGACTCAGTCCTTTCCCTGCATGTCTTATCAGTTAAATGCTACTGATGGCAGATGAGAAAAGACTGCCTTTATTAGACCTAAGAAATCAAATACAAAAATGAGCAAACAGAACATTGACTCTGAAATAGAAGAAAAAGGAAGGCGTATTCTTACCAAGAGACATTAGGGTCTCATAGCTTTCTTGCATAACATCTCGATACAGAGCTTTCTGACGCTGGTCTAGATATACCCATGGCTCCATGATAGAGTGTCTTTTTGGAGGCTCACCAGCACCTGTCAACAACAAATTAAATGCATTTGATTTCACTGAAGTAGACTTCCCTTACCTGGAGCCCTCCCAGCATACTACAGAATCTCCAGTTAGCTGGATATAACTTATATGCCATGCTAAGTCTAAAGCAGCAACAGTACATTAAGGTCTACTGCTAGACTTCTAGATTATTTGCAGTAGATCAACAAAGATTTTTAATCCCAATTTTTTAATAGTAGCAGCAACCAACAAGTTCCCTTTCCTGACCCTCATAAAGGGCTTGGCTGCAGAAACAATAAAAAAAAATAATATAGAATTCATGTGAGAAACAACTACAAAGCCCCATTATAGTTCAATAAACCACTTTGAGATTTTTAAAATAGGAAGCAGTATGCAACTATTTGAAATAAGTCAGTAAAATAAATTTCTGAATGAGCATACAGTCAGAGGCATCCTTGTTCCATGTTTCCAAAGCTAAACTCAGAAACACATTACTGGGGACTTCCAAATAAATATCCCTAGGACTCTACTACAAAGATTCCATAGACAAGAAGCAGACTTGGGACAGGTAATAAAAGGAAGAGCAGATCCTGTTAACCCAAGCTGCTCTCAGTACAGGGCATGACTGGCTGGGAAATTCAGGGAGTTGAAGTCCACATATCTTAAAGTTCCCACGGTTGAGAAACACTGCTGTAGCCTGTATTAGAAGAACTGCACAGCTTATTAACAAAAATACAATACTGTATATATCTTTCTAGCCTTCATCATCAGACTGGATTTAAGATGATATCATTCCCAGGCTAAACAAGATTTCCTACTATATGGGAAGATTCCTGTGTTTCCCCAAAATCAACATTTCTACATTGAGAGAAGCAGTTCATCAACTTTTTAATGTTATTAGATAATATACGCAATTTGTTTTGAACCCATTGATATTCGTATCTGGATGCCTCAGCAACTATAAGGAAACAAGGTCTCCTTCTCTAACTGAAATCAGGAAATTATTAGCCAACAGTCATTTAATGGACAACTGAGAAACTTTGACACCATTCAACAGTACACTTTTTAACAGGATTTTCAGGGCCACAAACAAGGACAAACCATTCATTCCATCAGCGGTTTAGTTCTGCTGATAAAGGGACAGCAGGCTTGTCTTTTCAAATTGCACTTATCCATAGTCTAGTACAGTGTTTCTCAACCTTGACAACTTTAAGATGTGTGGACTTCAATTCCCAGAATTCCCAGCCA